AAAAAATGTCCGGGTCCAATGCTTTACTCTTTAATGTATCATAAAATAGTATCAAGAATTATTTGACGCCGGTACAAAACTAACAATAATTAAGCTTTCAGTCGACCATACCTGGCAACGTGTTTTTAACACAGAAGATTTGTTGCGAAAAATATTACCTCAGCCAGGGTTTGAACCTGGACTTTCCTACTCACTAGGCGGGTGTCCACCAATTCGACCATTGTGGCATGTTTACACGTAACAGGGTTCAAACCCTGGCTGAGGTAATATTTTTCGCAACAAATCTTCTGTGTTAAAAACACGTTGCCAGGTATGGTCGATCGAAAGCTTAATTATCATAAAATAGGATCGATATAGCGCGAATCACATTTATTATAGAGAAGGTGATATTTTAATCTTTAATGAAAAATTCTAAAATCTGGAATAAAGTGATAGTATACGTATCGTCTTTTGCCGAATATCGTGGGATCAACTTCGTGCGTTGTAAGATGGAGAGAAAATTTATTCTAAACGCAAGACTATATAAACTTACATTTATATAAGTTACTCTTGCCTCGATATAGTAAGCCAATCCTTTTTAATTCGATAGAGGAGAAGAAGAATTATTGATTTTATTTTGATATTGTCTTATTTTTATACTAAATGAGAAATATAAATGCGTCAAAAATATTTTTTGTCTCAGTAACAAAAATCCTTTCCGAGAGTGCATTGATTATGAAATTATTTCAGAAGTGGGCTAACGCGTTGGCTCTCGATAATCGCTTCCGCCGTGCGCATTAACACACGGGAATATCTCAAGATTGCAATTCAAGTTTTTTAAGTCAACGCGTTTCAACCGTCACAAACTGTATTATTCCACTGCTGATAGCAGTGATAACATTTCAAGTGACGATTTGCCATTTCGGATGGACGCCCTCTGCGCCGTTCAGCTCTTCGCCTCTTTCGCCTCTTTTACATTTCGCCCGTGGAAAGTATTTCTTCCCATTTCGCAGAGAGCATCTTCTCTCGCCAAAATGGTGGTAACAATTAACGAAATACCTCGAATCGGCACGACCGCTGAATTTAATCGCGACATTATCGTTATGGTTTTAACGGCCGAAGGCGTCGTCATTCGACCGTTCTTAAAGGTCTGTTAAAATAGCTCGCGTTTTAGCGCGTTTTTTGCCCGGAAACGAATTATCTTTTTATCGAAGCTGATATACGAGAAAGCAGTCTTGCGAAAATAAGCTGATATAAAATATTAAATTTTTTCATCCGAAGGAAAACCGTCGGTTGAAAAGTTAAAATGCGTATCTTTCCAAACCTTCTCCCAATACTCGACTTTTTCATTTTCAGTCCTCATTTCCATTTCGAGCGATGGAAAAAGAAGCGTATTCCACCGTTTCGCATTCGATATTTACTGCCGGCCGCGAGACGCTAGCGCAATTTTAAAGGAGCGCCTTTAAGGGCCCTCCTTCGCGCGCCCAAAGCGAACACCGCGGTGGTTTACCGGGGGCTATTTTCAACCCTCCGGGTTCGACAATTCGTATCCCGATGAAAACGTTTGCCGACTAAACGAGCCCGCGATTTCGAAGGCGAGCACGAAAAAGCGGGATGAAGGAACGAATGCGAATGAACGAGAGAATGAATCTTCCGTGTCGCATACAATTGGTTTTTCTTTTACATGTCTTCTCACATTTTTTTCCACGCGCGTTGCTTCGCCATTTATGCGAGTTCGCGTTTACACGGCATCAAGTATGCATAGAGGCAGGAAGCAGCACGGCGATAATTTGCGAGCGCATATTGAAAAGAACGTGATCCGATAAAATGATCGTAATTTACGTTTACATACAGGATGATCCTAGGTTTCAGAAAATCAGTGCTCTTATAATTACATATAAAATACGTATGTACACGTATACATCCCGTGTGTGTTACATATTGAACTGAATTTTTTATATAAATTATAAGCACGTGTTACGCAAAAATCTGTATCTTGGTACAGTAATCGCAACGAAATTTGAATAGCAAATTATATACAAATAGGTAGAAAAACTTATTCCGTCTGCGCATATTGAAAAAAAACGCGATCCGATAAAACGGTCGTAATTTCGATTCACGTTTACGTATAGGATGATCCTACCCTTCGGAAAAGCAGTGCTCTTTATATAATTATATACAATACGTACACGTAAAGTTCTCTATTATGAGTTAGCAGGTTTTCAACACCCAAAATGAATCAGAAATATTTTTTCGCAACGATTGGACAATCTAACAATGAATTTTCCGCTAAGCAGATTTCGCTCCAAGGGTAATAAATTCGTGGTGGAATAAATTTCTCTACCAATTAAAAAGGATGAAGAAGTGAAAGATAAGTCTCTCTACCAATTTGTAACTTGCCATTTAAGTTTCGTCGCGATTACTGTACAAAGGTACAGATTTCTGCGTAAACATGAATTTATAATTTATACAGAAAATTTAAACCAATCTATAATGTTTGCTATGTGGGACAGACGAAGAGATATTTAGATACTCGGATGAAAGAACATTTTAATGATATAAAGAAGCACGAAAACAACTACTCAGTTGTCAGCAGGCATCGTATCACTGCGGGACATGATTTCCAGTGGTCCGATCCTGAAATTCTACAAAAGGAGAAGCATCAAAGAAAAAGGGAAGTAGCAGAGACGTTTTTTATTAAAAGCAACAGCACCGCGATTAATTGGCAAAAGGACGCTGAGAGTTTACCAGGGTTGTACGGAAAAATGATAGATATTACTTAAAATCCTCTACACTAGAGGTTGACCTACCTGTATATATGTTTAGTCTCATTTCTGCGCCCATACAGTAATCACGCGTTTCTAGAGAAATGTAATGTCTCTGTAGCGACGCTCCGAACGTATGTATTGAACTAATATAATTTACTTCCCTTTTTAAATCATATTGTTACATCCAGCACATAAGTATGTAATCGGACGTCCCTATTACGGTCCAGTGGGCCTAACGGCATTAGGCTACGTGCCATACGCCGACTAGAAGCTGTAGAATTCACTTGAAAAGGGCCAAAACCCATGGCCGAAACGTTGTGTTGATAAAGGAAGTTTCCTGTAGCCAGCTGTGTCGGATTATTCAACCTAATTGTTAATCGACGAAGGAGAGTTTGCTTATTGTCACCGGTAATGATTAGAAGTGAGACGGGAAACTAATAGTCAACCCAACTGGCTAATTATTTAATCGATTAATTTACAAACAGACACTGAAAACCTAAATGTAATGTATGACTATGTAATCGAGACTGTTTAGCTCGCTTCACCTTCTATTGTTCTTAAAACACGACTAACAAATTAGTTCGAGCCCAACCACCACATTGCTCACACGTATACATATATTTTATAACTCGACTCTGTCTTATTCGACGACGATAATTAACGCAGGTGCGTTACGGAACTTCAATAACTCGACTCTGTCTTATACATATATTTTATAACTCGACTCTGGTGCGTTACAGAACTTTAATAACTCGACTCTGTCTTATATACATATATTTTATAACTCGACTCTGTCTTATTCGACGACGATAATTGACTCAGGTGCGTTACTGAACTTTTAACTACTTAACGAAATCCTTTTATTTATTTATTTATTAACCTACATTGTTCATAACTACGTCGTTATTGTTGATTTCCAGTATCGCTCGAAAAGGACCCAAAAAAATAGGGTCGAAACGTCGTGTAATAAATCGATGAAATAATTAGCCAGTTGGGTTGACTATTAGTTTCCCGTCTAATTTCTAATTGTTAATTAATTACTGGCGATTCAATCTATAATGTATCTTGGATATGTAGAGGAATGTCCCGTATTATGAGATAGGATCTTAACATGGGATAGCGGGGTATCTGCAATATTAATTTAATAGCGTATCTTTGTACAGTAATTGCAATGAAACCTAAATAGCAAATTACAAATGGGCGGAGAGACTTGTAGTTTGTCGATGCAAATTATGCGACACGTGACATTACGTGAACTGTAGCGCCGAGCGGTGTGTCAAGATGGTATCTGCGCGGTTTGCGTTTTCCAATGTCGCTCACGACGGCGATTTTAAAGACGCGGGGGAGAAAAAATTGCAACTCACGCGGCGGCTACGAGACGAGGGTCAGTTGATATTGGATTCGAAACGTACGAGATCGGCAATATCCTTCAGGCCTCTTCCCTTTGCATTCCTCGACGGAGAAAGGCTTCCTCTCGCCGGGCATCTCCGGGATAAAGCCACGAGAGGAGTGGAAGGTTTGCATGCCACGCTGCGCGAACGCGCTCGATATTCCGATATCCTGATATCGGGAGTGTTTCTCCTCGCGACATCCTCGCCTCCTCTCCGGGATATACACCCTCTTCATGGAATTTATTATCCGCTCTCAACCTGCGTTCTGTGCATTCCCGCCCCCCGACCCCCCTTCACCCCGGCACGCGGGAAACCCTCGGGGATCACCTTACTGAGGATTCGGCAGTTTCCGTGCCGCGACGGCGGCTGTTTTTCTACGAGACTCTCCAAAGGACTCTAATAGTCCTTTGGTACGCGGGAAAAATCCCTCGGGAGCGAAATCCCGTAATCGATTGTCGTCGGTACACGAGGCTGATGAAAATTTGATACGCAAAAATGGCCTTTTTCAATTGACGAGATGTGGTACGATTACGAGCGCCTTTGAGATCGAATCTCTTGGATCTGTCTCGGTGGGGTTTGCGAGTTGATTTTTAATTTAGCAAAATTATTCGGTCCGCGAGTCTCGCGAGATCTTCGCCGAGTTTTCCGCGAATTATTCCGGGCTCGGGCTTGTCTACTTGTAACCATTTATCACATCGTATCCAAAGTGCATCGTAATTCATCGGCTCGTTCATCTTATTGTTGCAGAGATCCGCCTCTCGGTATTTCGCGAGCTGATGACCTCGCAGGCAGTCGTGCACTCACCTCCGCGTCGACCCGATCGAAGCAACGCAGTCTCCCTTCGGCAACGCTGAAGGGTCAGCGCGCGCGACGGCGGTGGGTCAGCGAAAAATGCGATAGAAACGGAGGGGTACGAGCACGAGGAAGGACGAGGAAGAAAACGGCTGGGTTTCTCGACCGATGAGAGAGCACCATGTGCTTGATCGTACCAGTCTGGCGGCGGAGGGCTGCCCTCCTCGGCACGATGTTGTTGCTATTGTCCTGGGGAACGGACGCGGCGGAGGGCTGCCCGAGCATGTGCGTGTGCAAGTGGAAGGGCGGCAAGGAGTGGGTCGAGTGCGCGAACCGCGACCTCAAAGGGTTACCGCAGGGCGCGCGAGAGGAAACGCAGGTGCTCGACTTATCTGGCAATCACCTGGTCAACCTGCAGCCGGAATGCTTCCGCGTCCTTGGTTTGATCAACCTTCAGCGGCTCTACTTGGGTAAATCTCAAATCAATGACATCGCCTCGAAGGCGTTCGACGGACTGGTCGGCCTAGTGGAGCTCGATCTGTCCGAGAACAAGATCGAGAAGGTGCCCACGGATACGTTCGCGTCCTGCTCGAGTTTGATGAGGCTTATACTGAACGGGAATCCGATCAGGGAGATTCGTCAAGGCGCATTTCTCCATCTGGCGCATCTGACTACCTTGGAGATCAGCAAGTGCGCGATAGATGTTATCGAGCAGAACGCCTTCGAGGGCCTGCAGTCGCTGGAGTGGCTCCGGCTGGACGGCAATCGACTCACCTACGTGCCAGATCATACCCTGCCGCTTGGGGGGAGTCTCAGGGGATTGACTCTTCACAACAATCCGTGGCAGTGCGACTGTAGACTGAGAACAATGCAGGCCTGGCTGAAGGAGTCGTCTCCGGCGGCGCCGCAGGAATCCGAACCAGTCTGCGAGTCCCCGCCGAGGCTGCACGGCAAACAAATCAAGAGTCTTAAGGTCAACGAACTAGCCTGCCTACCGCACATCGAGCTTCAAGATCACTTGGAGATCTACGAGGGCGGTAACGTCACGTTGAGATGCGACGTCCACGCGGTTCCCACCGCCAAGGTCACTTGGTGGCTGAACGGAGAGCCGTGCGAGCTGCAGCACGAAAACAACTCCATGGCCGGCAGTATTTCCACTTTTCCAAAGTAAGCGAATTTTCAGCTTCTATTGTAGAGCCTTTACGAAACCTCGCCTACGTTTCTTTTGTTTCGAAACGCGTTTCTCTGCATCTATTGCAGGTACATCTACCGACAACGAGGCGGGACCAATATGAGCAGCACGCTGTTCCTCTACTCGGTCGAGTCGCTTGACGACGGCACCTACAGCTGTATCGCGGAGAACAGCGCGGGTTCTACGGTGGCCAATCTCTCTCTACGCGTGCTCTTCCGCGAGAAACCCACCGTCGAGCCACCTTTCGACAATCCCGGCTCCGGCTACGTGGCCGCGATTGTCGCGGGGGCGTTGGTAGGCACTCTTCTGGCACTGGGCTGTTTGGTGGGTAGTGTGATATACTGCGCGAAGAAGCGACGCCGCGACCGGAAGCGCAATTCGAAGGCGTTGGTGACGCAGAGCAAGTCGGTGCTGCCTATCACGAAGGACACCACCAGCAGCTCCTGCCGCAAAGGTAACGGCAGTCTGATTGGTGGTCTCGAACATCAGCAAATGGTCTCGTATACCGAACGTGAGATCAATCGCGCGACCACTCTGGATCGCCGGGAACACACCAGGAACAATCACCTAGACCGGGACGCGTATTCGGTGACGAGTCCGGTCGCCAAGTACCTGACCGAACCTGATCTGATCAACGAGGTGCCCGAGAATACCGAAGTGGGCTACGGTCAGCTATACGGGCGGCACCATCAGCGTGCCGGCGGCATCGATCGGCAGGTCCTGGAGTACGACTCGGGCTATCCGCTGCAGCCCGATCTGCGGCCGCCGTCAGTTCTGCCACAGATGAGCTATCTGGATCAGGACGGCTACCCGCTCAACTTTGGCCTGCCCAAGATCACTTTCAGCACCGCCAGCACTCTGCCCAGGCTCCGGCAACGTATGTCGGAGCCAGGCTCGGCGGCCGCGCCGGCGGCCAGATACTCGCGCGAGGCGGAATTCCTCGCGCGATCACCGGGATACGATCCCATTTTGCCGCGTACCGACGCCAGGTACACCGCCGAGGGCTATCCCTATCCGGTGCATCAGCATCAACACCAGCATCAGCATCAGCATCAACACCAGCTTCAATCGCAACAGCAGCAACAACAGTCGCAGCCGCAGGCGGTACAGCCACCGATTCAGCCGGTCGAGCAACCGATTCAACAACAGCTGCCTATCCAGTCGCCAGTCTCGCCGGTCGCTGTTTTCCCGGATGTGCCCTTTATACCGTCACCTCCAGCGGCGTATAGAGGCGAGACCACTCCGCTGTCGCCTCGATCCCTCCTCGGCAAGACCGCTCGCGAGGCCGCGGCCGCGGCCGCCGCGAGGGCGGAGGAGCTCCAACCGCCGAATCATCCGGAAAGTCCTGACGAGGGCTACGTGGGAGACGCCATGGATGTCTGAAAGCTCCGAACCGAACGAAAGTTCGGTTATCGGAGCTAAGAAATACGGGAAATGCATCCTGGATCTACCGTGAATAAAATTAATGTATCTTTGCTTTTCGCAAGTTTACTCTCACAATCAGTTTTCATTTACTGAACTCATCGTGGGAAAAAGGATCGGTCTGATGGAATTCTTTGCGGGAAATGCCGCAATTAGAATTTTTCATGGCGAAAGAGACCGTTTCAATGATGTTGCATACACTTTCTTCAAAATCCACCAAGTAGCTAACATTTTCGAAAAGAATTTCACTTTTGGGCAGTGCTTTAAGAATTTATTTAAATATCTTTACGTTACTTGGATCACTTCGGGTATAGAGAAATTCATTTGCCGACTAGAAACGTTCCGTGCATACATTTCACATGCGTTTTCGACGAAATCACAAGTGAAGAAAAAGAGACTCTCCCCATTTCTGTTTGCTCAACACGTTGATCCAGCAGACAGAAAATCACGACATTTGTATTTGCATACAAATTTTCGAGTAGCTTCTATAATGTCCTCCCATTATGCGCGTCAAACGTAAAGACCTAAACGGACAACGAGATATCAGCGTTAAGGAGGAAATCTGTCCTCGTCATGCTACCAGATTAATTCGCGGAGAATAACAGGGTCCAGGATGTGATTGGCGGAACAGGGCCACCCGAGACGGCACGAACAAAGGACTCGTCCTGGCGGCGGAGACGTAATAGATTAATCAGAAGGCATGTCTCTCGAATGTCGCTGCGGTGCGCAGTCCTCGTCAGGGGCCGGTGAAGATATTCGCTTGGAACGCGGGTTGATTCTTGCATTCACGTATTCGAGGGAAATCGACTCCGAAAAATTTACGCGGATCGCGTTTAAACGCGGAGAGTGCTTTTTCGGACACCAAGATGGCGCCCGGATTTATTTAAACGGCGTGTCGCGCTTGTGAAATACGACGACGTCTTTTGGACGCGATCCAAGGAGAAACGTTCGGTCGCGTTGAAAAGGAACCAAGATGGCGTGACTGATCCTTAAAGTGATAGATAAATGTTTGGCGGACTCGATCGAGTGAAACGCGCCTCGTGGACCTCGAAGGCGCGCCTTTCAGCATCGCGAGCGAGAACGTGACTGGTGCTCAAAGCGGGCTCCTCCGACGGGATCCGCTACGAAAATGTGAAATTAATTAAATTTAATTGTTCATGTTGATTCCGCGACTGGGGCGAAATCCGCGATAAACCGATTGCGGGACGAGCGGTGTGGGTGTAAAATAGGATGTAATAAAAGGAGACTGTCCTTTTTAATCGTAAATATTATTAATATATTTGACAACTTTTTTACATTATTTGCCACGTCTCCTGCGGCACAATTTTCAACAATTGTCTCGCAGAATTATTATATAAAGATATACACATAATTTCTATCGCCGTTCCTTTCGATCGTGTTAAGTTTGGCATCCGGTCGCTTCAATCGTTGTTAATGGCTTTTCGATTAGTCTGATATGATTTAAGCTCTCGGCGGCAGCATTGTAGCCCACACGGGACGACACGGGGTGCTCATGACTCGGAAATCTGCTCAAGCCTTCTTTGCACCTCGTCCCCTCCCCCGACAGGATTTTGTTTTGTATACATGTAGAATAAGTATCGTTTATTTCTCTCGAAGACCCTCTCGATCCTGGGCGTTTCAAAGCGGAGACGCAACTGTAGCGATTCTGCTGTAGTGATAATAATGTTAACTTGGTGTTTAAGACTGGCGAGATTAGGAGCGCCGCGCGGTGGCGCTCGACCTGATGTACAGAGACCGTTGATCGTACAGGATGTTCTGAAAACGGTGTATACCAGAATCGGATCGGAGCGAGGAATTCCAAAAGCAACTTTCCTTTCGAAGAACGTAATCTTGGAAGTCTTTTTCGTGCGGAAGTTCGGAGGATCGCGATTTTACGGATCTCGGGGATTAAAAGATCCGACACGTATTGAATTTTATTTGTTGAAATGTTAAAAATTATGATTTACCCAAGTGGATCTCACTCTATTGCCTCGTCGTAGTTAGACCATTTAGTTTGCCGGAGAAAATTTTGCAAGTCAATTCCAGCTCCTCGAAATGGTATACGTCTCTTCTGGGACGCCCCGTATATCTATATACATATACGTATACATAAATATATAAATATATATATACACACACACACGACACACAAATACGGATAGATATATACATATTATATGGCGCGTACACTGAAAGAAATACTAAGCGATGAAAAATCGGTGAAAGTAGTTATTTTTTAAAGGTGTCTTCGAGACTACGATTCGAGCTGGCTTCGCCCTCTTAAATAATCGATTGATCTACAGTCGACGCAGACGTAAACGTGAATTGGCATTGTTTCTACTGAAATAAAACTAAGTGTGACATTTGTACAAGTTTGCCAACTTCAATCACTCGGAAAACGCTGATGAGTTGATGACAAATTATCATAACTGCAAGGTGGCGCCGGACGTGAAGACGGAAGAATGCGCCCCGAGAAAGCGCCGAGTCCTGGAGGGTCCTTTCATCGTCAGAAGTACTCGGCGACGAGGAAACTGGTTTCCTTTCCGTCGCCGTAATCACGACGCGATTCACGGATGAACAGTGTTTGCCTTCCAGTCTGGCGACTCGCAAGGATATAGAATCCTGCCTGTGTCCTTTAAGCTTCGCCGTCGGGGTAACTCGAAATTTGTCTTCGCCTTCGAGTTTCGTATATAACAATATTTCATCTTGTTCCGGGGCAAGTAATTTATTTACATTTTGAGAAATTTCAGGTAAAATGAAAATGTTTGAGACGAGAAGTACAGAGGAATTCTTCATCGGGAAATTCAAAAATGGTTTATTTTAATCAGCTAATGTTTTAAATCATACTAATATCCGACAAGTATTTTCACTGAAATAATAAAAGAGATAGTTTAAATAACAGACGGTTGAAACTAGGATCATTGTCTTTGTTTCTTTGACACATAAGTATACAAGCGTTATTACTTTTCGAAGGGAGGGCAATTACAAAATTTTCGTGAATAATAACCAAGATACATAAAAATTTGATTGCATGTTTTCGGGATCGTTAGCTTTCGAAATTTGAGTTATATTGAGTTGTGAACGTAATTTTACGCACCGACGAAATTCTGCCAAAGGAGTTCTGCATTCTGTGTTCATTTAATTAGAACTTTTTAAACGAGCTCGTCAACGAGAATAACTTCAATGCGTGCGGTCAATTTTGTGAATTTCGATTAATTTGCCGTAAATGGACAAACCATTAGATCCTGTTTTTCGATAAAAATACAGCAGAATTGTGGCGTTTAGAACTTTCATTGAACATTTAATTAACGTCTAAATAAAAAATTGTTAAAGATCTCGACGAGATCGTTTCGAAAATAAATTTTTCCCATGTATTAAATCCTTTTTTTTAGTTCTTAATACATACCTTTATTTATCTCTTAGGAAATGAAAATATACGAAATATTGCTTACAACTAGATACTTAAATTTCCGTTTTAAGTACCAAAAAGTGTTTCGGAAATTAAATAATTAGAAAATACATTCGCATAATCACGTTTCATGCAATCGCCATTTCCTTAAAGAACCACCTTAAAAGACTTCCTTAAAAGACCTCGCTTGTGGTTAAATAAATAACATCGTTAAATCGAGTTAAATTACGAGAAAGTGCAATGTACTTTCTTGAGGAGAATCTTCTAAAAATAGTGATTTCACTCTGTACATTAGAAAGATTAGAAATGGACGATTTTATGCTTCCTAAAGAGAATTGATTTTTTTTTTGAGATTGCATTTTTTATAGATAAATTTTTTTCATAGACCTCTCTAGGTACTTCATGCATATTTATTCGCATCGATTAAAATCCGGTGAAAGAAAAATAAAAATCCAACACATTTGAAACAATTCGTTTTTTGTGAAAAAAATCTAAACTAGAAAGTTTGATTTTTTTTTTTAGTTTTTACTTCGACGCCGCTTTCAGAGATTCGTTTTTTCGTAGATAAAAATTTATCATCGCAATCTGTCGCTTCCTTCGCTCCGTGTGTATTTATTTTCGTCGAATTGACGAACGAGCGGTTAAACGCGGGAACAAGAAAAACACTAGCAAAGTTTAACGATCTTGCTCGCAGGCGATATTGCATTCGCTGGTTTGCAGCTCGTCTGAGTTAAATGCATTCCTCTTTTTCCATCGATCCCTTTTTACTTCTTATTTATTCTCTTTCTCCCGCGCGCGCTAATTATAACCGCGAGCTTGCTCGGTAACGATCTCGTCTTTTCTTTTTTTGTGGAAACACGACGGAAAGCTTTTCCGGATTTTCCTCGAGAATCCACGGAGACACGAGATACATTTTTCGAAATGTATTTCATAGGAGGAAATTATACGAACGGAGTTATCTTTACGTAGAGACAATTCTCGATTGTTTCATTGACTTTCGCGACTTTTAATATTTTCGATGCAGATGGAGAGCTACGGGAACAAAATTCCGCTCTGATAAATCAGTCGAATTAAATTTCGCAAGGAAATCATACGCGCGGAATTTCATCGCATAAAGGCTTAGCGTCCCGAGATCGGTCGTGAATATTAATCGGCTTTCCTCTCACCGACTCTCGCGCAGTGAAACATTCGCGCCGGGGAAAATCTCGCGAGGAAGGCAACCCGTCCTATTAACTTCCCTCGCATTCACAACGTGCTGCTACGATGCTTTCCGGTAAATGTAATCACACGTCGATGCATTAATCAGCCGCTCGACGAAACTCATGGTAACTCCATCCGTCGGATATGCATGTCAGACGGAAGTTAAGGGCAGTGACGGTGGGACGGTCGAAGGTTCCTCATGGTTAAATGGGAAATGTCCCTTTGCAGGGAGTATTGGAAATTATTATATATCTATTTATTAAATTTCGATATTTAAATATTTCACATTTAAATCTCGTTGCTCCCCGGGAACATTTTCTTCCAGAAGATCAAACGCTATTTATGATAAAACAAAGACAATGCGCAAAGAGCCCAGCCTTGATCTTTTTGCTCATTCTTTGTGTAGCATGTCTGGAGGGAAAAATATTTTGCAAACGTGGAGTTCGTAAATTTTCATATTGCGGGATCGATCAGGAAAGAATGTATGCGATGGAAAGATAGCGAAAGGTGAGCAAGCGAACGAGTGAGCAAGCGAGAAAGAGAGAGAGAGAGGGGGAGAGGATAACATTAAGTATACACGACAAAATGAGGGCCAAAGCCACATTCGAATCGATCTCCTGCGAATCCACCCCATTCCACCTCCCTCCTCCCACGTAAACCACCCTCCTTTTCTCGACCGTAAAACTCCCGCGAAGAGTTACGACTCTCCGACGCTCGCAGCACAATCTTGCATATATGGACAGGCGCACATATACACTCATTTACGTACTCACTCACACATATACAAAAACACAGATATACGCGCGTATATACGTACACTAACGTACACACACACGCGCGCGCGTACACAGTTCCAGGTACACATGATGTTCCGAACGATTGAGCAATACGATTTGTATTACCGTGTATAACGTAATGTATTCGATTCTGCACATGTCGTATGTACTTTGGATGTAGCGAAGGATTTTTCACGACTGATATGAGATTAAAGGAATAAAGATAGCTTTTGTATTAAATGTCTCGTTCCTTTTTTTTCTACGCGCGTTTACATACCACATTTCCCATTCCCGTTTCCGCTACTGTCTTCGCGGGAGGATTGTACAAGCGTTTCTACGTGACCAATCTCGAAGTGTAGTGAGTACAAAAGTACGAAAAGTATCTTTCATAATTTCTACATCTCTTGTATTTCCGCTAAGGACTGATTTATTGGCGCAGACAATTACATCGCTTTCAAGCCACGAATCAAAATCATACAAGAAAACTGCATAACAACAGAGATACAGTAGCAGTAGAGGGAAGTCCTCTGTTTCCTAGCGGAAAACATTTCTATAAATAACTACAAAAATTAACTTGAAATAGAAATTTGTAGAAATTTTTTGTATCTTCGTTGAAACATTAATTGTTTTGTAAAAATATCTACGAATTATTGCAAGTAGTATTCCATGAAAATGTACAATTTTGTAAAAATTAGTGCAAAACTTTACTAGTTTTAAAAATTTCATGGACAAAATCTTAAAGGATTAAAACATCTGCTTACTTGTGGAATATTACAAAAAATAACAAAAGTGTTCCAATTCTAGCCTTTTTATGTTGATTTTTATAACTTTTTAAATTTACGTAGAATTTCTGAGATTCTGGTAGTTATATTTTATAGTTTTGTAGAATTTTGTAGAATTATTTCCGTCAGGTTGTGAGATATCAGATTTTCAACGTCCAAATTCAACGACAAATTTTTTCCCGCAACGATTACAAGATCTAATTTCACTCTAACGGCAATAAATTCATGGTGGAACCAACAGACGATGCCTATTAATTTAGCAGAAACTCCGCAATCTCGTATTAAGAGCCTATCTCATAATAGGGACTTTCCTCTATTATTAGTAATGGGATCCATTCAAGTTTAAGAAAGTTATTTGGCCTTTAAGAGGTAAATTGTTTGTCAGTCGTAGTCAAATTGTTTTTACAACTTGTATTGTAAAAAAATTCTAGTGTCCGACTCTGATAATTTTACATAGGTGTACAGGTGCGTACATACATGTGTGTGTTAAAAATTTAGCAATTTTCCACCCACGAGGTTTATTCTGCGATATCATTCCTCGAACTATTTTTGATTCATTTTTGTTATATCATATTTCTTTAAAAATACTATTGTAAAAATGAATTTGTTAGCAGTTTGTATCTATTTGCACTTCACTCGCACAAATCTGATTGCAATACAACGATATTCGGTTAGACGGCAAGACAATTTTGTAACAAATTTAAATGTGTGCGAAAAGGTTGAGGCACAGCTCGCAACTCGTATACTCGCGAAGGAAATTGTCCGAGAGAAGTGCGGCAAAATAAAAAGATTTAGGAAAGAAACGGGCGCGACTCGAAAACACGCGCATAATTCGAGATATTTTTGCTGTTGAAAACTTCACGTTTTATGATTTCGTGATTTCCATCTAACCCATTGCCGTTTAAAGACATCAGACTTTTCTGGTTATACGCCAAGGACAGAGGACTTTTAACTGTAGACATTACAGAAAAAGTACAAAGTATCTTATATCCGGCATCTCCTCGGAAAGATCTCCGAGAAAACTTAAGACGAGAAGATAAGAAGTTCCCTGTCGCTGTCTATAGATCGCAGGTAAATCTAGTATATAGGGTGTTCCATATAGATAAAGTACTATCGTGTTTCTCGTAAAACAAAATTAACATCTTTCAGCGAGATTTTCGGACGTGCCTCGTGCCGAGATATTTCACGTTTTTATGTGCCAACACAATGCATTTTAATATATCAAAAAGATGAGATATATATAAAAAATGACGCAGTTGCGACTTTTACCATAGAAAAAAGATATTTATTTTCTGATAAGAGATATGAGAGGTGTATCAGTCTGTGTCACACCTAAATGTTATGAAAAGGGATTAATAAGCGAAATAAACAATACTTCGTTACACAGAGACGGAGAGAAACGATTTCGAAAGTGAGATAATGAGAAATTATTGAAAGCCACAGTGACGCGCCTCGCATTGCACGCGGTGCAATTATTTGTCGCTCCGGCGACACTAATCGATGACACGAACCCACCTCGCGTAATTCTCTCGCGAGATGAATCCGACGTTTTATTAATGTCGCGGGTAGAGTTTTAATTATGAACGCGTTATATACCGAATGCAGTATCATGCTTAATACGCATTGAAAGAGATGTTATCGTATAATATTAGCGTGTATATTACTCGCGTATCTGCTAATGCAACTGAATATTTAATCACAACTGATAGGCCAAATCGTAACAAATATTTTATAGTGAATGTAATCCATTATAACTGCTTTCGCATTTGCAATGAAAGCATTTACCATGTACCGTGCTTTTAAACATATCTCCAGTCTATGTGACACACTCGCGCGCCTCGTCGCGCGCAGCGATACGCATGTACGTATTGCGTTGCGTTCACCACAATTTCAAGAAAATATTTTCGCGAGCCGCGAAAAATGAAATTTATAATAGAAATAAAATTCAGCGCGGGAATAAAATTCACGATACGGAAATGAAATCCGCAACTGCGGATCGCGAAGGCGTCCGTAGGAAAATGTCGCAAAACTCCGCCGTAATCAATGTTCTTTCGCTTCGGTGCGCCCCAGGAGTTACGGTATTGAAATTTCGCGCGGTGTCCATTACTCAACGAAAATTTTATTTAATTAAATCGAATCGACCGTCCTCGCTTTCGTAATGGAAACGTTTGTCGCCTGTAATTCGATGAAGCGCTGCAGCGCGCTCAGTACATATTCAGAGAATACGCGTGTCTTATTGTTGTTTTGTCATTTTATCGGAAAAATTTTACGTGCCAAAGAGAAATAGAATTCACGGCTGCGGAACGACGGCGCGACTCACTCGGGAAGAAATGTCACGAAACTCAGCGTAGTCGATAATCTTTCACTTCGGCGCTCTTCACGGCAGGCTGAATCGCCTCCGTGGGTTGCGCGCGACGCGAAACTCCTCTCCGCGCACCGTGAAAATAATTGGACAATTTTTGGTCGTTACATCGCCGAAGTCTTGATCTCTCCTTCCCTCTCTCTCCCTCTCTCTCTCTCTCTCTCTCTCTCTCTCTGCCTCTTTCGGGAATTCGCGCGTATTTGAAGAAACTTTCTCGGAGACTCCAGTAAGACTCCGACTCCGGCTGGGGTCGTTCAAGCGGGTCACGTTAATATTCCGACAAATGACGAGTAGGACGAACCTCGCAAAAAAAGCACGGCGGTTATTCAGTAAAATAATTGGATCGATGGCGGAGAGACCGACGTGGGTCTCGCGATACTTGATGACTCTCGTCATGGTTCGTTTGGTGTCTCGGCCAGCTAAAGAAGAAACTACGAAAAGGACGAATTAGTTGAGAAAAGAAAAATGATTTGTGACAATCAGCGACCTGGTTTAATGTAACGACCACTTTTCAAACAACGGGCGCAATAACGATGCCTCACTCGTGTATTAGAAATTATTAAAGGTCTTTTGAAAATTATTAACGAATCAGCAATTGTGTGTGCGCGCGTGTGCGTGCGTAAAAAATTTATTATTACTTTCTATGAATCAATACACGGGATACATGCATTGTTACGCTCTCCTCCAATATTCTCGTTATTCTGGCAGTATATACACGCGATAAAAGCAACATGCAAATTTGTAAACAAATGAAATTACAATAACCGTTCAAACTCGCGCTAAATTGCTCCGAGCTAACATAAAATTACGTATTTATGTCTCTGCATATCCGACTTTTCGCCTGGTTATCAGAAAATTTGACAAGCTTACGATCAGGCGAACGTCGCAACGTTAATTGCGCTAATCCACCTTAAATTTTGCCACATTCTAGTGCAGTGAACACGAGAGATGCGTAAAAGTTCTTCGGAGTAATCGTTATCCTGCAATTGGTTGGGATCAATTTTGGTATTAATTCAAGGGAAATCCATAGTAATAAATAGGAGTGTATCTTCGGGGAGGTAGGCACTAGGCACTAATTTTCAGCGAGAAAAATAACAAGCTAGGACTAGACCAGGATTAACCTGGGACCTTCCGCTCTTCGAACTGACAAGCTATCCAGGCCCACACTCAAAATCCTTCTCGCTTACCTACTTTATTTTACTGAATAAAGTAGGAATAGTATACTAGCAGCGCGACTGCAGAGCGATGCGTGGTATCTCACTCAACCAACGCAGCACAGAAGCTTGCAGCAACATTGCTGCAACATTGCATATTGCAGTGTAATGTTGTATAGATATTGCAGACATTATTTTACAAAATTACTTTAGTAATGTTGTAGCAATGTATGTAAATATATTATTTTAAAGTATTGATACAATTAAGTCTATAATATGTATATTGTTTACTTCACTTTTATAGTTTATGTGTATTATTATACGTAGATAAATAAATATATGCAAATATGTATTAACATATTATGTATATATATGATTAAAGTATCAGTCAGATTGAGTTTTAACAAAGTATGGTATTTCTACAACGATGTATGTAATCGAAACGTCAAAGACTGTTTACAAATCTTTCAGGAAAAATATATTTAAAAGTTTGGGACAATTTAGAATTCCGCAGAATATTCCAAACAAAGTATGCTGTGTGGGTCACGTTCAAAAATAATTTTTAACATTTAATAACGTTTAATAATAACATGTTATGTACAAGTATATGTACATACAAGTATCCCGCACAGCACAAAACTTGCAGTTACATTGCAATAACATTGCTACAATATTGCAACATTGCTGTAATGTAGCTGCAATGTAACTGCAAGGTTTGTGCTGTATGGGATATTACACATTGCAAAATATGCGCGTCAGAGGACGTGTCAGAGCCAAAGAATCACCGCTAGCTCGTCCGATCAGCGAGGTTAAGCAACATTAAGTATGGTTAAAGCTTGGATGGGTGATCGCGACCTTACGGTTTTTCACACACAGCCGCGAAAATAGATACAATATATTATATTGCTATGTTGCTACATTACATCGTAATATTTCTGCGGA